ATATTTCTACATATATCTACTATATACACACACATATATATACATATATATACACACATATGTGTATATACATATATATATACACACACACCATATACATGTGCATACATATATATGTACATTTATAGGATTTTATTTTAATCTGATATAAAATCTCACATTGAATCTATCAATCAATTCATTTGGGGAGAACTGACAGCTTTACAAATACTGAGCTTTCCAATCCCTGAGCATGGTATATCCCACATTTAATTCATATAAATAGGAGTATGTGTATGTCTATTTGGCATTGTGTCTCTCCTTGAAACTCTATCCTTTGGTTTCAGTGATGGTTCTCTGTTTTCATAATCTCCCCCTGCCCCCCAACTTTCTTTGGCCATTTCTCACTTTTACTTTATTTGTATTCATTTTATTTGTATTTTATTTGTAGACGTATTCTCCTATGTTATTTTTCAGGGTTTTGTCATTGGCTCACTTTTTCTTGTCCCTGAGTGATCTCCTCTCTACCTATTCAGTGATTATTCACAAATGTTTACATTTAGTTTGTATTTTTTGTTGTTTTTATTGTCTTCTAGACCCAAATGCCTTCTGGGACAGCTCCAGTTTTGCCATTCAGTTTTGCTGAGTAAAATCTAAAAATTTTTTCCAATGATAATTTCTGGCATTGATGTGCTTAAAAAAAACTTCCTCTATTTCAAGATTCTAAAACATTCTTTCATATTTTATTATAATACTTATATGGTTAACTTAAAAAAATTTTTTTAATGTTTATTTTGAGAGAGACAGAGAGATGAGAGAGTTGGGTAGGGGCAGAGAGAGGGAGAGAGTATCCCAAGCCAGCTCTGTGCTGTCTGTGCCCGATGCAGGGCTCAATCCCATGAACTGTGAGATCATGACCTGAACCTAAACCAAGAGTTGGGTGCTTAACCAAATGAGCCAGACACACAGGCACCCCTATGGTTGGCGTTTTTACATTTAATACTTTATTCCACTTGGAATTTATTTTTTTGGGAGATACGTTGGGAAAATGTAATGATTCCATGTTGTGTGTGTGTGTTTAAAGAGAGAGACAGCACAAGCAGGGGAGGGGCAAAGGGAGAAGGAGAGAGAGAATCTCAAGCAGGCCCCACACCCAGCTCAGAGCCCAATGATGTGGGGTTTGATCTCATAACTGTGATATGACCTGGGTTGAAATCAGAGGTGGATCCTTAGCTGACTGAACCACCCAGGCACCCCATCTCTTGTATTTTTGAGTTGATATTCATCCATTCTTTTCACGATTTGTTCATTTTATGTTAGTGAGATTCCTTACTGACCAAATACTGTGAGGGCTGGACCAGGTATATCTTGTTCACTGTTGAATTCCCTGGCATCTAGGACAATGCCTAGATGATAGTAAGATTTAGTAAATATTATTGAATGGGTGAATTATGGAAGAGAAAATTCTTTCATTATTGGTTTTTAACTTAATAACACTTTTCCTGTTTTTTCTTCATATCTTTCATATTGGGAAGTCTTCTACATCTTAGAAGCCTTTAATCTAACTTTTTAATCTCATTGAACTTTGAAAAACATTTTTTTTTAGGGTAAACCAAATAACCTATTCATGTCAGCTCTGCTTTAATTCTTTCCTGGATCCAAGCTTGCTAGAAAAGCAGTTTATATTCACTTTTCTTCTAAGTTAGCAAAGCTTTCATGAAAACATGCTGTTCCAGATGTGGCGTTGTGAATGTAATCACATGTCTGGTACTGTTTCTGTGTCTGCTTAATCTTTACTGCTATCCTGTGCCAGTTCCAGAGGGTATATTTGGCTGATTTGTTTTCTTGCAGTGGGAGCATGGATAATATAATACATAATGAGGATTTACTTTTTTTTGTTTTATGTGATGATTATTCCAGTGATAAGGCCAAGGAACCGAGTTTTAAAATGGAAAGATGATTCATCCCACTATTATTTATTGATACCTTCTGTGTGCAAAGAACAAAATGCTATAGAATGTGTCCCTATCTGCAAAGAGTGTACAAGATGAGGGATGTAAGACACAGCCTTCACAAAACTCATTTTAGGCACAGTGCCAAATGAGTGGTATAAAAAATAGTGTGGGCATTTAGGAATGGGAAAAACCACTCTGACTTGGGATGGCAAGGGAAAACTTCTTGGAAAAGTTGAGACTCATGCAAGATCATGTAGAATGTCTGGTTAATGGGGCCTCTCATCTGGGCAGAGAAATGAACAAAACTTGAGATGGAATGCATTGTACAAATATGAGGGCCATTGCATATATGGAATGAGTCAACTTTGTGTCAGAGAAAAGGAAAGGATAGGCAGGAAATTGGATCAGATTGTGCAGGGTCTTGAGTTTTTTTTTCTTCCCAAATCATATTCCTTGGAAGTATCCTATTTCATCAAGCATGGGCCATAAATAATTAGGGCTGGAAAATGCTTCATAGCTTTTCTGACATGAAAAAAGAACCTGCTTTATTAATGAGCCTGTGTCTTTATACATTATATCCATGGGTGCTATTAACTTCAGTACTTTCTGTATGTTTCAGACATTAATCTCTTACCATGGGGGATTGGAATTTACTGGGTGACATCCTAGAGGAAGTTCACTCCCACTCAACTATAGTGGGGAAAATCTGGCTGACCATTCTCTTCATTTTCCGAATGCTGGTACTGGGTGTGGCTGCTGAAGATGTCTGGGATGATGAACAGTCAGCATTTGCCTGCAACACCCAGCAGCCAGGTTGCAACAATATCTGTTATGATGATGCTTTCCCTATCTCTTTGATCAGGTTCTGGGTTTTACAGATAATCTTTGTGTCTTCTCCTTCTCTGGTGTATATGGGCCATGCACTTTATAGACTCAGGGCCTTTGAAAAGGAGAGGCAGAGGAAAAAGTCACACCTTAGAGTCCGGATGGAGAATCCAGAGCTTGAATTGGAGGAGCAACAAAGGATAGATAGAGAGCTGAAGAGATTGGAGGAGCAGAAGAGAATCCATAAAGTCCCTCTGAAAGGATGTCTGCTCCGTACTTATGTCTTACACATCTTAACGAGATCTGTGCTGGAAGTAGGGTTCATGATAGGCCAGTATGTTCTCTATGGGTTTCAAATGCACCCCCTTTACAAATGCACTCAATCTCCTTGCCCTAATGCAGTGGATTGCTTTGTATCCAGGCCCACAGAGAAGACAATTTTCATGCTCTTTATGCACAGCATTGCAGCCATCTCTTTGTTCCTTAATGTACTGGAAATATCTCATCTGGGAATCAGGAAAATCATGAGGGCACTTTATGAGAAATCCAGCAATGAGGACATTGAGGATGAAAGTGGCACTCCATTCCATTTGAAAAAATATTCGGTGGCCCAGCCTTGTATGATTTGCTCTCCCTTGCCTAAAAGAATCTCTTTGCTTCAAGCCAACAATCAACAGCAAGTCTTTCAAGTCAATGTGCTGAAGTCTAAAACCACATGTGAAAGCCTACAGCCCAGGCAACTTGAAGTAGACCCTTGCTGTATTAAAAAAGAGTGGACTGAGAAGGATCAGCACAGAGGACAGCTCCATGTCCACAGCCCATGTCCCTGGGATGACAGTACTCGAATTCAGCACCAGGGACAGCAACCAGGCCATTCATTTGGCCTAGAAAATGTAAAGTCCCAGTCCTGGCTAGGTACAGAGATGGCTCCTAGACATTGCCCATCCTATGCAATAGGAACCTGGGAGCAGTCCCAGGATCTACGACCCTCAGGAGAGCCTCTTACAGAGTTGCACAGTCACTGTAGAGACAGCGATGGCAGCATGAGAGAGAGTGGGGTCTGGACAGACAGATCTCACCTGGATAGTCGCAAAGCCAGCTTTCTGTCCAGATTGCTGTCTGAAAAGGGACAGTTGCACAGTGACTCAAGAAGCTTCAGTTCTCAGAACAGCTCTTGCTTGGATCTTCTGCACCGGGAAAATAGTCCCTCGCTTCTGCCTTCTGCCACTGGGTATAGAACATCAATGGTAAGTAAGGACTGATCATAGAACTATTACAAGAGATGTTCCACTCTGGCTGCTTCTTAGTCGTCCCTTTCCAATTTCCTGGTGTGTATATGTGTGTGTTGAGAGAGAGGGAGAGGAGGTGAGGGAGGTTAATTTATAGAGAGTTGAATCCAGTCATTCAGTACATTCAGTTAAATTCAGTTCATGAATAAAGTTACTGAACACTTACTTTATATCATTCAGTCTTGCAAGAGCTGGGTTTATAAATAGATAAAATACTGTCTCTCCCATCAAAGGGCTCAGAGTCTAGATGGGGAAGTTATACAGGTAAACATAAATGTGATCAAGTGTAAGGTGCCATGTTAGAAGGAGTGTGCAGGCAAAGGAAGGAGTGGACAATTCTTTATGAATGGGTCAGGAAAAGCTTCATTGTTGAAGTTACTTTTGAATTGAGTCTTTTTTTTTTTTTCTTGTTTTTGAATTGAGTCTTGAAAGATGTAGTGAATTTCTCCAGAACTAGGAGGACTGGGGTGCATGAAAGAAGGACATCCCAGTACAGGGAGCAGCATAGACAAAGTCTGAGAGGTGTGACACAGCAGGGATGTCTGGGGAGCTACATGTGGCTGGAGCACTGAGTGGTAGGAAGGCTATGGAGAGGGAAGGGTGGAGAAGGGTCATGGAGGCCTTGTGGGAAGGCAATGGAGAACCCATAGAGGGTGTGCAGCAGAGGAGTTAAGGGATCAGCATTACATTTTAGAAAGCTCTTTCTATCACAGTGTGGAAAATGGATCAAAAGAGAGCATTTGTAACCTTCAGCAACCCTTGTCTTGCTAAAGAAGGAGGGTGTGCTCCATTGTTTTAATAGCTCTGGCATTTAAAGGTCATATACAAATATTTGGTGCTATATTTCACAAAGACTAAAATCAATATAGTATTGATTTTAATTCTGTTCTCTGAAAAGCCAGTGTGGAATAAGCATTTCCTGGCCATTGTTAAGACATAATGGATATTTACTGTGGACTCTTCTCAGTTCTGGAAAAAGAAAAAATGACATTTGCTTTATCCACTGCTCCTAATAGCTTTAAAAGTTTTTTTTTTTTTTTAATGTTTATTTTTGAGAGAGAGAGTGAGAGCAAGAGCAAGCGAGCGAGTGAGCAGGGGAGGGGCAAAGAGAGAGGAAGACAGAATCCAAAGCAGGCTCCAGGCTCTGAGCTGTCAGCACAGAGCCCAATGTGGGGCCTGAACTCACGGACTGTGAGATCATGACCTGAGACAAAGTCAGGCACTTAACTGACTCAGCCACCCAAGCACCCCATAATAGCTTTTTTTCCATTAGAAAGAAATCCCCCTAGTTGAGCTCACTTGGTTGAACTTATACATTTGCTTTTTCCTGTTAATGATAATGATTAAATCTATGATGATTGAATCTCTATCCCAATTTCATATATCCTGTGAGTTTAGAGATATTTTTACCACACTAAGGCCATATCTTGAGGAGGCATCATCCTACTCAGAGTTTTCCTATAATACTTCTTTCAAACTGATATTCATTTCTTGGCAGTGACCGGCCATCTATTCAGGAGACTATGTTTAAATTTTTTTTTTTAACGTTTATTTATTTTTGAGACAGAGACAGAGCATGAACAGGGGAGGGGCAGAGAGAGAGGGAGACACAGAATCTGAAACGGGCTCCAGGCTCTGAGCTGTCAGCACAGAGCCCGACGCGGGGCTCGAACTCATGGACTGTGAGATCGTGACCTGAGCTGAAGTCAGACGCTTAACCGAACTCATGGACCGTGAGATCATGACCTGAGCTGAAGTCAGATGCTTAACCGACTGAGCCACCCAGGCGCCCCCAGGAGACTATGTTTAAGATCAGAGTGTGGCTACTTGGAACCCCATGACAAACTACAGCAGGGTTCTCAGCCCTGGCCACGAGTTACAGTCATCTGGGAGCTTTAAAAAATTGTCATGCCCAGGACCCATCCAATTCCATTTAACCCAAAATCTCTGGGGTGGGGGGGATGCAGGATCAGTATTTATGTATGTATGTATATATATGTGAACTATATACATATATATGTGTGTATACATATGTAAACTGTATACAGTAAGACCTTGGATTGCGAGTAACTTGTTCTGTGAGTGTTCCACAAGATGAGCAAACATTTCCAATAAATTTTAACTTGATAAACAAGTGATGTCTTGCAATATGAGTAGTGTGTGATGCTGAATGTCACATGATCACAACTGAACCAATGGTTCTTGAAATTCACTTTGATATACAAGTGCTTTGGAGTACAAGCTTGTTTCTGGAATGAATTATGCTTGCAAACCAAGGTTGTACTGTATATGCATATATATGTGTGTGTATGTGTGTGTATGTATATATATATGTATGTG